GTGTCCCCCCGTGTCCCCCATGTCACCCCGGCCCCGTGTCCCCCTGTTTTCCCGGACCCCATGTCCCCCCGTGTGCCCCCGTGTCCCCCCGTGTCCCCCCGCGCCCCCCGTGTCCCCATCCCACCGAGACCCGCTGGCCGCCATCCTCCTGCAGGGTGCAGGGCCACCAGCCGCGGGCTCTCCTCCTGCGGAACAGGTCCAGGGTGGGGCGGGCGAGCCCCGGGCCCCGGCAGCAGCTCCGGGCGAGCCGGGGCAGCTCCCGCGGGCTCAGCCGGCACCGCCCGGGGCTGCGGGCCGGCCGCGGCAGCCGCGTCAGCTCCAGCTCCAGGATCCCTGCGGGACACGCGGGGACACAGCTCCGGCACCTGGGGGGGCTCCTTGGTACCTGGGGGGGGTCCTTGTCACCTCCCTGGCACCTGGGGGGGCTCCCTGACACCTTCCTGGCACCTGGGGGGGCTCCCTGGCACCTCCTTGTCACCTGTGAGAGCTCCTTGTCACCTCCCTGTCACCTGGGGGGGCTCCTTGGTACCTGGGGGGGCTCCCTGTCACCTCCCTGTCACCTGGGGGGGCTCCCTGACACCTTCCTGTCACCTGTGGGGGCTCCCTGGCACCTCCTTGTCACCTGTGAGAGCTCCTTGTCACCTCCCTGTCACCTGGGGGGGCTCCCTGTCACCTCCCTGGCACCTGTGGGGGCTCCTTGTCACCTCCCTGTCACCTGCAGGAGCTCCTTGTCACCTGTGGGTGCTTCTTGTCACCTGTGGGGGGTCCCTGTCACCTCCCCGTCACCTGTGGGGGCTCCTTGGCACCTGGGGGGGCTCCCTGTCACCTGTGGGGGCTCCCTGTCACCTCCCTGTCACCTGTGAGAGCTCCTTGTCACCTCCCTGGAACCTGGGAGAGCTCCTTGTCACCTCCCCGTCACCTGTGGGGGCTCCCTGTCACCTCCCTGTCACCTGTGAGAGCTCCTTGTCACCTCCCTGGAACCTGGGAGAGCTCCTTGTCACCTGTGTCACCTCTCTGTCACCTGGGGGAGCTCTGGCACCTGTGGGGGCTCCTTGTCACCTGTGGGTGTTCCCTGTCACCTCTTTGTCACCTGCAGGAGCTCCCTGTCACCGGTGGCTGCTCCGCACCACTCGCGGCTGTCCCCTGTCCCTGTCCCTGTCCCCATCCCTGTCCCTGTCCCTGCCTGTCCCTGTCCCCATCCCTGTCCCTCTCCCTGTCCCTGTCCCTGTCCCTGTCCCCATCCCTGTCCCTGTCCCCGCAGGTGACACGCCGTCTCACCCAGCAGATCGTCCGCCTTGAACTTGTCATTGTCCCACACCTGCAGGATGAGCTTGGGGGGCACCTTCAGCAGCGTCTGGTCCAAACTCCACACGTGCTCCTGCCGGGGGCCAGCGGCTGTCCCCGAGTGTCCCCAGGTGTCCCCGAGTGTCCCCAGGTGTCCCCAAGTGTCCCTGAGTGTCCCCCAGGTGTCCCCGAGTGTCCCCAGGTGTCCCCGAGTGTCCCCAGCTGTCCCCAAGTGTCCCCGAGTGTCCCCCAGGTGTCCCCGAGTGTCCCTCAGGTGTCCCCAGGTGTGTCCCCAGCTGTCCCCAAGTGTTTCCCGGGTGTCCTCAGTGTCCCCGGCTGTCCCCAGGTGTCCCCCAGGTGTCCCCAGGTGTCCCCAAGTGTTTCCCGGGTGTCCCCAGGTGTCCCCCAGGTGTCCCCAGGTGTCCCTCAGGTGTCCCCGAGTGTCCCCAAGTGTCCCCGAGTGTCCCAAAGTGTCCCCCAGGTGTCCCCAGGTGTCCCCAGGTGTCCCCAAGTGTCCCTCAGGTGTCCCCAAGTGTCCCCAAGTGTCCCCCAGGTGTCCGCGAGTGTCCCTGAGTGTCCCCCAGGTGTCCCTAGGTGTCCCTCAGGTGTCCCCAAGTGTCCCTCAGGTGTCCCCAGGTGTCCCCGAGTGTCCCCAGGTGTCCTCAAGTGTTTTCCGGGTGTCCTCAGTGTCCCCAGGTGTCCCCAGGCTGTCCCCAGGTGTCCCCAGGTGTCCCTAGGTGTGTCCCCAGGCTGTCCCCGGCTGTCCCCAGGTGTCCCCAGCTGTCCCCGGCTGTCCCCAGGTGTCCCCAGGTGTCCCCAGGTGTCCCCAAGTGTTTTCTGGGTGTCCTCAGTGTCCCCAGGCTGTCCCCAGGCTGTCCCCAGGTGTCCCCAGGTGTCCCCAGGTGTCCCCACCTTGCGGTGGATGGCACACAGTTTCTCAGCCGCCAGGAACTCGAAGGGGAACACGAAGCGCCAGTTGAAGGCTCCGTTCCCGTCCAGGGAGCGATAATGGACATCGGTGTGCTGCCGGTGCTCGGGGAGCCCGTCCAGCCACCTGTGGGGACACCTGTGTCACCTGTGTCACCTGTGTCACCTCCATGTCACCTCTGTGTCACCTGTGTCACCTGTGTCACCTCCCTGTCACCCCTGTGTCACCCCCGTGTCACCCAGGGAGCGATAATGGACATCGGTGTGCTGCCGGTGCTCGGGGAGCCCGTCCAGCCACCTGTGGGGACACCTGTGTCACCTGTGTCACCTGTGTCACCTCTGTGTCACCTGTGTCACCTGTGTCACCTGTGTCACCTCCCTGTCACCTCTGTGTCACCTGTGTCACCTGTGTCACCTCCCTGTCACCTGTTTCACCTCTGTGTCACCTCCCTGTCACCTGTGTGTCACCTGCGGGGACATTGATGGCACCACTGTGCCCACATGGAGACACCCCGAGGTGACAATGACCCCTGGACGGGTGACAGTGACCCTGGGGTGGGTGACAATGACACGGGGTGGGTGACAGTGACCCAGGATGGGTGACAATGACCCCTGGACGGGTGACAATGACCCCGGGGTGGGTGACAGTGACCCAGGATGGGTGACAATGACCCAGGATGGGTGACAGTGACCCAGGATGGGTGACAGTGACCCCGGGGTGGGTGACAATGACCCCAGGGTGGGTGACAGTGACCCAGGATGGGTGACAGTGACCCAGGACGGGTGACAATGACCCAGGATGGGTGACAATGACCCAGGATGGGTGACAATGACCCAGGGTGGGTGACAATGACCCAGGATGGGTGACAATGACCCCGGGGTGGGTGACAATGACCCAGGATGGGTGACAATGACCCAGGATGGGTGACAGTGACCCCGGGGTGGGTGACAGTGACCCAGGATGGGTGACAGTGACCCAGGATGGGTGACAGTGACCCCAGGATGGGTGACAATG